TCCTTTAATGTATTGTCTTTTATTGAATCTTAATATCTCAGTTTGACACTACTGCCATCTTATTTTTGGTATTGTCTGTCACATTATCTACTTAGCTGAAGTAGATTAGTTCCAAAGTTACAGGGAAGCTTCTACAATCTACATAGCTTCTCTGAAAGGACATGACAGTCTCAGTTGGCCTGTGTAGGTTTTTTATAAAATATGTAGCAAATGTCAGCTTCTTTTAGGAGCAAATCATAGACTGTGGAAATGTGAAACTTGAAAATGAAAGTGAAGCGTAACTGTGTTTTAATGCTGCTTCCCTAAGCCAAGCCTACTGAGTCATAAGTTTATATGCTGCAGCAATGCCTTGAGGTCATGTTGTCACTTCTCCCAGTATAATCCTGTGAAAGCAGAAGTCATTTTTCTTAGTTACCTTGCAAAAGTCCAACTAGCTAAGGTGTTATTTCATGTTTCTGTCTTCTCTTTCCCCCTCCCCACTGGTAAGGCACTCTGACAGCATTTGTGGACTGAATTTCCACTGCATGAGAAGTGCCATAAACAATAAGCTGCATTAAGATAACTATCTGGAAAATATGGACCCAAAGCATGGTCATCTGAGGAGGCATCAATAATTAGAATGGTTATCTGGGCAGTATCCTGTGCTTTAGCTGCCTGACTGCAGACGTTTCTTGCTTATGGTCGTACATTCTATATAACAAATTTGCATTTACCAGCAACCACACAGAACGATGATGAAATATAATCAATAGTTTTAATGGCTATCATCACTTGGAAACATGCCTTCAAAGGAATGATAGCACATAATTACATTAACTGCTAAATTAAGAATGTTAGGAAACTCCCATAAATGTACTGCTTTTGGTCACTATATCAGTATTGGGAGGTTAGTTTAATCTTTATATGGTTTGTTCTGGATAATAAGAAATACGCTTGTGATGGCAAATCTGTTGTATTTATAAAAGCTGATCTTCATCAAACTCATACTTCTATAGTGGGGAAAACTATTCTAGTACTGAATTGTTTGTAAAGAAGACTTCAGAGAAGTTCCCTTACTTTACAGATTCCTTGGACAAATCGTATGAAAGCATTGATGGCCTGTGTCGCCCTTCCAACGCTGTCATTCTATGAATTCTATAATTGTTAAAATTGTACAAGTTGAACTGATGGGAACTTCCTCTCATATGTGGAATCGGGAAGAATAGAGAAGTAAGGCAAGTTCATTTGCAGTAGTGTGTTGAAAGGAGGGATCTGATGGTGTGCCTGGCCATAGAAGTTGTCATGAGCCGGGCAAGGAACAGTGTAGGGCGCGCTGTCCGAGCGCAGAGTGAATAAGGCAAGAGCACCAACTCGAGAAGCGTAGTCAATGTCCAGTCCAAGGTTGTGCACAGAGTCAGGAGTCTAGTGCGAGGGTCAGTCCATACAGCAGGATCTGAGAATCCGAGAGTTACTCATGAGCAGGTTCAGGAGCAGGATGAAGGCAGAGTCAGGAAATGGTCCAAAGACTCACAGGGTTGAGGCAGGATCCAATGCAGTGGTCACAGAGTCACAGGGATTTCAACTTGTTGCTTCCACACCAAACAGTCTCTCTTGGCTGGTTTTTATAGACATATGCTTAAGGGTCATGCTTACAGCCAGTTGCTCAGGAGTAATCCTGCAACTACTCAAGCAACTGTCATTGGGCCAGGAGGCGTGCACTTTGTTGTCTCTCCTTTAGTGCTGTTCGTAGCCGGTGTAGGTGATACTGGAGGAGCTGGAAAGGATCAAATGAGTTTACCTGTTGAATCAGGGGTGGAGGGTGTTGGTGGCTCTGCACCAGCTGTTGGCTGTGAATCCTGACAAGCCTGCAGCTCATTTTCCTGCTTGCCAGCTTCTGCTGACTCAATTCAATTCAAATACCTTTTATTGGCATACAGCTTCTGCTGACTCAAAGCTGGCTACATGGGGCTCCTCCTCTCTTGGGGAGTCTTCTTCTCTTGAGGAGTCCTCGCTCTCACTGAGCCCTGACTGACACATGACAAAAGCTCTTTCAGAGAGCTACTGTGATGTTGCTTTGGTACAAAGATGATTCTAAAGCTTGGTTAAAGGACAAAGAACAGTAAAACTAATAGTATTCACATTACCTAGAATCCTCAATTTCTAGAATGGTTTTAGGAATCGCCGTAACAATGCCTGAAGTCAGTAATCATTACTGCAGGTTTTTAGCAAGGCCTCCATTTTGCTGTGAAAAATTCCTACTGTGATGCTTGACAAAGCATAATTCCCCAGAAGAACATTTGAGTTGGTGTCCTAAACTGGGGCAAAATAGCAAAGTTTGCTCATAGTGTGAATAAAATGTAAGTGTAAAATTGGTCCAGTGTAGTTCTTGGTGGAATTTATAAGAACATTGTCCAGTAAAATGGCAGATACAAATAAATATTGAGAAATACAGACTGAATTGCTCTAATCAAATTGTCCAAATATAGAATGAAGTAATATTTCAGATATTGAATTTGCACCATTGACATTTCCAGCTGTGGTCCCAAGCAGTGTTCCCTCTAAGATGAGTTAGTGTGAGCTAGCTCAGAGTTTTTTAGCCTCCGGCTCACACATTTTCATCTTAGCTCAGGAAGGATGGCTCCAGAGCAAAACTAATTTATGCAGGAGCCAAATCGCTCGCTACCAACTTTAATGCCAGTAGCTCACAAGGTAGGATTTCTGCTCACAAGCCTCCACTGCTTAGAGGGAGCATTGGTCCCAAGTGCACACATGTAGGTAGCCACTAAATTGTTATCACCAGTGCAGCTTTGCGGTTCTTTCTGGTGGTCATAGCCATCAGAAAGCAAACGTATAGATCAACGGGAATGGCACTACAATTAATAAGGTTAATATAGGAGAAATGGTTCAAATATGCCTTGTATATTTTACTTTATTCTTGTCCTTGCTTCATACAGGCTGTGTAACCTTACCTTACTGGAAAGGTATGGAGACAGTCCAGAGTCCAGTTAGTTTTTACTGCCTGTCTTCTTTTGGAAAAGCTATGAGGTGAAATACTATTGTGAAACATAGAAAAGATGCAGTATAAGAGTATAGTTATGTGACCTTGAAATAGTGAAATACATCTTGCAGGCTTGTAAGCTGCCATTTACCTGTTTGTCTTTTCCTGTAGCATCTCCTTCAGGGAAGGCTGCCATAAATAGGAGATCTTGGTTCTGACTTCTTTACCAGGCCATAATAGTGCCGCAGTATTCTAGGGGTATGCATTTGGGTCTACCCAAGCCGAAAATCTACCCAAAAAATACCTTACCAGTATTTTTCGAGTAGATTTCGACATCCCAAATGTATCTGGGTTTTCTCAGAAAAATGGGGGGGGGGGTCCCCCCAAAAAATACCAAATATATTCAGGAATTACTGGGCAGATGAAAAAATTGCTTCTGCCTCTCAGCTTCTTTGTTGGGATTTTACTGCAGTCCCTTTAAAGTTTAAAGGGACTGCAGAAGACAGCCCGAGGATCAACTATGGGGAGCAGAGTGTTCCTGCCGGCTTGGCTTGGGGCTGGCTTCTCATGCAGCCCAGTTTAAACCAGGCTGCAGAAGAAACCAGCCCCAGGATCTGCTGTGCCGCCAGGAACAGATTGCCCCCCACAGGCTGGGCTTCCTGCTGGTTTCTCCTGCAGCCTGGTTTAAACCGGGCTGCAAGAGATGTGTGCCCAGCAAGCATCTTCTGTGCCCACAGGAAGCAGATTGTTCCTCACCAGCTCAGCTTTGCACTGGCTGCTTTTTTTTTAACCAGTATTTTTCTTCTCAGGTCTATTGGACCTGAACTGGAAAATACCAGTTAAATTTTTTTACGCACCCCTACAGTTTATGAAGTATGGCATAGGTGGACCAGTGAGCTGGCAAAAACTTTATGGGTTAGTAACGTCTGTGGTCATATTTTGAAAAGCAGTTCATGGACATGTCTGAAGTGTAACATGATGATCATCAGAAGGAATCTAGTCAGCCAAACAAGTCTGGTAACTTAGAGAGAGAATAAATGTTGAAAAGTAGCTCTGAGGACAACAGCTTTTATTCTCCACCTCTTCTGATTTCTTGTCTGCATGAGTCTGAAGAAACATGTAAATGTCTTAAGTAATCATCTTGTTTCTCTTGCTCAGCCATTTCTCCAGTGTTTTATATAGCTTAATGTGATCTTCATGTTATATTGCAATAGTAGGATGCAACACCTTGTTTTTGACAGTGTAGCTATTTTTATAGTGGTCCTGTGTGACAGGAGGGTTATCTGAGCACACCTTCTAGAAATCTTTCACTGCCAGAAAAATATATGGCCATACCTGAAAAGCAGTGAATCTACTCCCCTATCATTGTTAAATGATGTGAATACTTTGCTTTATTTTGTGAAAAATCTCCTTTGTTTTAACCACTGTCACTAGCATGTATACAACAAAGTCACTGTTGGATACTGAGCTTCGTTAAAGTCAGTTTTTGCACATAACGCAAAATCTTTTGTTCTAGACCACATTTCCATTGAGAGACCTTGTCTGGCATAATGGTGTTTTCCTGGCCCTGTTATATGGTATAAGAGTAGCAACTTAACTCCCCTTCTAGCGTTTAAAGACCCAAAACTTTCTATGGAATCTTTTAGGCTTTTGTAGTGTGTTAATGAGGACTGACTCTTTGGGTATGAGCCCGCACACCTGCTTCGATCTTCTCAGCAGTCCTTTAATACCCCATCACAAAGGAAGGTTATATACTCCTGGAAGGCACTTTGAGACTGTCTTATTCCAGATGTTATTTTATTAATTCTAATGGGGTTTTGTTGAAGAGAGCTTGAGGATTCTTTTTAAAATGGGTTTGGTGTGTGTGTGTTTTTGGTATGGTATTTAAACTTGGTATAGGCTAGTTCTGGCTCCAGGTGGGGAAAAGACAGGGGACAAATATTTCCAATAAGAACGTAAAAGCAAAGCAAGGTGTCAACTGAATGCACAAACCCCAACCATCAAACTAATTTTCTTTTCATAGGCAACATGCCAGCTCCTGAGCAGACACCCCTGGAGGAAGGCCTGCATCAGAATCCCCAAGAATCTTCCACAAGCCCGGGCATGGAAACAGAGGCTACTGCTACCACTATTCTGGCTTCTGTAAAAGAACAGGTATTTTTTTTTAACAAAATCCTCTGTAGATATAACTATCTAAGGCTTCGTGCGTGAGCAAGCTTAAAACTGTTGTACTAATTTGGTGGACTTGGCACAGCCTACCTACAGTATCTTAATTTTTAAAAAAATAAGCATTCCTGAGGTACAATCTTATTAGTGTGACTTTCAGCTCTGGAAAGTATTTAGCCACAAGACAGAATGTTTTCATGCTTATAGAGTGGTTGAAAATTAAGTGATTGCCAGCGGTCAGCATTGATATATAGGGGGGAAATGGTTACCAAGACTGACTGACTGACTTTCTTTCTCTCTCTTTCGCCAAGTCACTGTTTTAGCAAACAGATATAATTAATAAAATATCTGAAAAGCTTTTGACTTAGCCAGATACCATTGGAGAAGTGTGAAATAGAGAAGTGTACCATGAGATGATGTCACGGGCAGTGAATAGAAAGGTTCTTTAATGGCTGCCACCACTCTGGTATGGGTCTCCTCGGGAGGGCCCATAGCACCCACCCTACCCCTTTATACAATACTTTCCCAGTAGGTTTCCCTTTATACATCACCAAATGAGGCATGAGGACCCAGGCAGAGTAACAAACTAGTTTTATTAATGAGATTTAATAACAACTGTAGTTCAAAATATGTAGGGAAGATGAGCACAGTAAAGCTAGGTAAATCAGTGAAATAATAAATCCTAATGCGTCTGACTATACAGTCCTAGCCTTCTCTAGGTACCTGATCTCAGACTGACTCACCCCTTTTGGATGAGGGATCCCTCTTTCTGCAGCATCTTCATCAGCCCTGCTCCCTGAGAGAGAACACCCTCCCACTGTAGGCAAGGCCTTTTATTCCTTCTTCCCAGGCACCACCCTCTGTTCCTCTGCTCCACTTTTCTTCTTAGAACAGCCATGCATATGGCTCTCAGTTAGTCTCTCATAGGCAGTACTCAGTATGTGGCCCCTTCACTTAGTTTCAGGGATAGCAATGTGATGAGTCTTATTCTGGGATTAACATTGGACTGGAAAAATCAATCCAACAGTAATCTTTGGGGTTAGTGCTGTTGAGTGTCTTGGTGTGGATGAAAGAAGATTGGCATGTCTGGAGGTCTTACAAAATGGGAACGAGATGAAGAGCTGTGTGGGTTTTTTTAAATAATACATTGCAGTCCAAGTAATATGCTCATCATCTTCAATATCACAGTAATTCTAAAACTTGCTGCATTCTTATAAAAGTGGCACCATTATCTGTAAAGTTTGAAGATAAGGTCCTCAAAGCACACCAGGCTGTACCTTTTGCTAATGAATACTTTATAGTAGTACCTGAGGTTTTTCATTTTCTTTATATGCTCCAGTGACTGGACCAGTGGTATTTTGTGGTGAAATTTATTTGTGTATTTTACCCCACTTTATGTAATCCAAAAAAATTTGCTCCAAAGTACCTGACAGCACTGAAATCCAATACAAGGACCAATTAAAATTTTATATGATATGTGGCTCAGGGCAGGGATACTGAGTAAGGGTTGCATCCATGATGGAAAGCTGCCTATCTGATGCTGCTTTTTCCTCCAAAGGCCTTGATGATGGTGGCTGATAGCTGGACATGGGAGCACTGATGTGGGTTTTCTTGGAAAATAAATTTAATCAGAAATCTTTCCGATGATCTGAATAGTGTGACCTGATTTAGCGTATTTGTTTGTCATATTTGTTTATCACACACACACACACACACACACACACACACACATTATCCCTCAACAAGCACACACAAGATCTAATGTTTGGTAAACAGATCAAAAAATGTAACCTATATCAATTTTATTTGGAGTATAAATATATAGAAATGTTTTTTCCAATACCTACAAAGTATATCTGATCGAAAATATTTGATCAGGGGGAAATTAAATTAGTTTAAATGTTATATTCAAGCACATTCAAAGCTTTATTTTATTGGCACACTCATAAAAATGTGAAGGCGATAGCTTTTGATATTCATTGTTTACACTCAAGGGGGAAAATGAAAACTAACTGAACACACTATTTTTTGGATACCCAAAGAGCTCGGCCTCTGTCAAAGTTCCTTTCTCAGAGGTAATTGTGGCACCTTTAATTTCATTTCTCTCTGCACTACTTATGAGTTCCATTTCAGGTTGAGCAAAGTTTGATTCAGAACTATTTCAAAGTACCTAGTTTAAAGAAACCAAAAGTACTAGAAACCTAGCAGATCTTATTCCCCAGCTCAAGAGAAGAAATATGTTGCTGCTCTGTGTGTTTGAGGAAAGTGAAACAAAAAATAATCAGAGTTCAGTTTCAGATTCTATTTCAGCATGTTATTGAATGTAAGCAAAAGAAGGCAAATATACCATGTACAAGCCTGGGCAGGTCTTGTCCAGATCCAGATGCCAACCTATGGCTCCGATCAAACGCAGAGTTTGCCGTGGGAGAGCCACGAATGCCGGGCGGATTTTTAGGGTGCGATCACACCGCAACATCTGGCAAGCGTAGCACACCTGTGGCATCCAGCCACAGATGTGCAGTTAAAACATACCTGCCAAACTCCACTAGCAAATGGTTTGTCACAGGCCGCAGATGGACTCGATCCGTGTGATCATGCCAGTGCACACCTATTCCCTCCGGCCGTCCTCATTGAAGCGCGCTGGAAGTACATGCCAACGGACAAAACCCCAGTGCGCCGCCATCGCATCTGACCGCATAATAGCGGGTCAAAATGCGACCGCAAATAGCCACCACCCCCCGCGCATTTTTCAGCACATGTGACCGGGACTATGTTAATGGGCTCCAGGCCCCACTGGGCTTCTTGACCCCAGCAGGCGCAGGGAGTGATATCACATGATAATCTGTGGTGTTATGACATCACCATCAGTTTGTACCTGGAAATTACATAACACTCTAGGAATTGTACATCTCTATGGCAAGAAGTTTCCATAGAGACAATTGAATTCTGAGGGTGTCATGACATCACTTCTGGGTACAAACCAGAACTGATGTCAGAGCATTGCACATCATCATCATTGTGTAATGTAACTCCCTGCCCACCAAAGACACCCTTTGGCTACTGGTGTTTGGCCAGCAACCCTAAGCCAATTGCATTGTGCAGAGAGAGGTGCTGTAATTTTTCATTTACTCCATGGGTAGTTGAACTGAGCACAGGGGTTTGTCAGTGCTTCATATCCTACTTTTAGCCCATCTAATCTGATTGATTTGCAGCACAAGAACCCTGACAGCTATAGATAAACAGACTATATTTATGTACGTCGGGAGGAAAATTGCTAGACAGGAGGGTTTTCTGCTAAAATTGCACAGCTGAAACATGGCTTTTATTGAATGCCAGTTGTTAATACAATTATGGTGATGATAAGCAGGATGCCCACTTCCCTTCCAAGAAGGAAGTACCAGTCACTTGGCTTCTGGCCCTTCCAGCAATAATAATTTTTGTGTGTATAAAGTCACAATATGGTCAATATTCTTTCCCCCCTGCTAAATCATTGTGTTATATCTGTTTTGTTATGGAACACCAGAGGGGTCTCATCATAAGACAGTAGGAAAAAGAGTGTTCTTGTTAAATGTCGAAAGATTCTATTCCTCATACATTCCAGGCAATTTATACCATCCGTGTGAAATTTGTTACAGAGAATCTATCTGGCTCAATTTCCAGTTTATTTTTGAACTAGGAGCAAAGTTTGCAAGGCTGGGTGCTTACTCGTGGATCCCTGAATATCTTCATTTACAGTTTCCATTTAAAAAAAGTTCCTGATGCATTGTACCCTTGCTCCTTCTGTCAGAGTCAGTTGTGTGTTAGTAAAATAATGATGCTGCAAACAACCCATTTAAGTTTTATGTCGAATTAAGGGGAAATTATTCTGAACATCCATGGTGTGTACCTTCTTCATGGAATGTATGTTCTAAAGAAAAATATTTGTCACCTGGAGTGCTGCAGTGACTAGCATTTGGACCTTGCTGGACTGTTCCCCCCCCCCCAATAAAATGACTTTCCATTTTTTTCTTCTTCCCGAAATGCAAGTACTATAACGTAATGCTTACAGCAATTAAACTAGAACCCATGAGCCTGTCAACATCTAATACCAAAGGCATACAAAACAGGATTGTTAAGGTCTTGACCTGGGAGATATCTTTCCTTAGTTGGTTTTAGGCTGCTTTTCCCCAGCACTGGTAGCCCTTGGTTGTGATCTCTCAGCTGTACTATTTTGCTATTTCAGAAGTGGACTCTTTCAGAAATGGAACTTGAAGTGGCTGCAGCAGCCACTTCAGATGCCATTTCTAGCAATATGGGAACCTGAGATGCTCCTGATTTCAGGTGGTTCTATCTAGCATTGCTGGCTTATGTAAATTCTGATCTACTTTCTTAGTAACGTTTTGTTTATGTTTCTCACACACACCCTCTCTCATGTCCTCCTGCATTTCTCACTTACCGTAAACCAGTATAATTGTATGTTGTATGGGATCCTAGCTTCTCAGAAACTATAGAAAGGGATTGTCCTTTGCAACCCACAAGCTACAGTAGTTACGTTGCATAAATTTGTGCACCCCCCTCGGTACCAGTCGATTCATGCAAGAACCATTTGGTAGATCCAGATGGTCAGCCGTGTTGGTCTGAAGCAGTAGAACAAATTTAGAGTCCAGTGGCACCTTTAAGACCAACAAAGGTTATTCAAGGTATGAGCTTTCATGTACTATAAAAACCTAGTAGGGTCCCAAATAAAGCCTCATAAATTGTTCAAAGTTACAAATATACACAAAAAAAGACAGTATATGACCTGATGCGTTTCGGCTCACAAAAGCCTTCTTCAGAGGTCAAATAGTGCAAAATACAAGCAACTATTTTATGAGGCTTTATTTGTTTTTTATATGTCTTTGTAATAAACACTTTTGTACACTTATGTTTTTAACTTTTGGCCCTCAATACATTTTCTAAACTTCCTTTGAAGGTTTGTGCTTTGTTGGTTTAGATTTTCTCCCTCCCCC